CAACAACAACACAAAAGTAGTAAACCTTAACATAAAAGGAAAAATATGGCACTGGTAGTTGATACCCGAAATGGAGTAATTTATAGCTCATAATTCGCTAGGGGGGGTAGCAAATTAAGTATCATAATTTCGCTGTACCCCCTAGCGAATTAGTGGGGAGATGACACTTGGCAGATATTACATATTTCGCTACCAGTCATGCCAAAAATAACCACATAATTCGCTACCTAGTACAGCGAATTATGTGGGGAAGTGACACGTGGCCTGACTTTGAGTTGACATGAACTGACCCTTCTGCTGCATATTTCGCTGTACAGGGTAGCGAATTACGTGTTTTACAGGGGTGTGACACGTGTCCAAAAGTTGCCTGGCAGGGCTGACCATTTGACCACGTATTTCGCTACCCTGTGTAGCGAAATACGTGGACCGCTGAGGACGTGACACATCATCAGGCCTAATTCGCTGCACTGTGTAGCGAATTAGCCTGCGTGGCAGTTTGGGAATTTTTACTGTGCGCGTGGCATTCTGGTAAATTTTATGATGAACAGTGGCAAATTGGTCACTGTTCCCCTCGGCCTACTGGACAAAACGATTTTGGTACGCACCCTTTCCAAAGCAGGGGAATCTTTCCCATGATATATATAGCTCGCTCCTTCATTCTTCACCCATTTTCTCCCTACTATGCTAAAATACATCAACTAAATTGTGCTCTCCACATCTCACTTTGATCCCTATAGCCTTTGTTTAAGTCTTATACCAATTAATTCTCTCCTTGAGCTCTAATCTATTATACTAATTTCTTCTTTTACATTGAGATATTTTACCTCTAATGATAAACAACCTCCTCTTAGTTTTATGCGTAACAAGATCAAAGAGCCTTAAGAAATAAAACAAGAAGAAATATACATTTAATATTTTAGTAGTTTATTAGTTTAATAAAAAATTTCTATGCATGTTTTTTCTTTCTTTCTTGTAGCCATATAATTCATAAGTTGGATGAGTGTAAGGGAAGCTCAACTTCATATATCACTTTGCAATAAATGATAACTGTTGATTGACGAAAATCAACGATTAAGATATGATTGTAAGAGGTTATAAATGAAAATATGTTATAAGTATAACCTTACTCCTAAAAATAACTAAAAAAAAAAAAATTTACTTCCATAGAGATAGAGGCAACTAATTAATAATTCATTGAAAAACTCAAAGCCTAATGAATTTAATTTGGGCTTATTTCTTGGACCAATGATTTAACCCTATTGTTAAGCCTTAAAGTCCTTAATGGCCACAGCCCACAACTAGTTTTATAAAATGTCTTCATCCAGTTTTTAGTGTTAGTGATATTTATGGCCCACACTGATTCGAAGACTAGTTATAACCCATTTTTCTGTTAATCCTGTGGAATTAGGGGAACCCAGCCTTGAGTTGAACCAAAGGATGTCTTTTGGATCTAGATTAAATTTGGTTATGATGAAATTATTGAAAGTGATTTTTTTTTTCTTTGGAAACAATTAATGATGAATTTAGACATTATGGTTTGATAAATTTAATTTAGACATTATTGTTTGATAAATTTTGTAACATAGAAGAAGGGTATAATAAATATATCTCAAATCCAACAAAAACTGAACTAGATGTAATTTTTTATTCCCAAATCTAACCTTATTAACTTTCGAACAAGTCCTAAATACTTGTAATTCCAAATCAAGCCCCTACCTGCTCATGGAGAATACGGTTTCTAATAAAGGGGAATATAATCGACATATATGATGACAATAGCTTGACAAACATAATCAACAACATGATAATAGAGTGGACTCAATGATAATAATCAGAAAACATCTTGGGCGGAGAGCTGTTCTGCTTGGGTCTTCTTGTAGTGTGTTGTACATTGATATGTTTGTTCCCATCCCTAGTTGTTGGTTTTGCAGTAGTGGCACGCTTACCTCTCCCCTTTGGTTTACTGGTTTTGGGGGATGATTGGTGGTTTCTAGTTGCAAAACCACTCTTAGCTGCAGGTAGATTATTGGTGGATGATTGGTGCTTCAAGCAGTTTCCCATTTTTGGTCTTGTAAAGTAAAGATGGTTTTTGCACTGTGTTTTTGCTGAGAGAGATTAAGAGAGAAAGAGAGAGGTTTATAGAGATAGGTGATAGCAAGGGACCACTCACACTCCAAAAATCAGGGAGTGTCGTGTCTGATACGCTCCGACACGTCAATACGCTCCGACACGATTTGACACGGTGTCCGACACGCGGTCAACATTCCCGACACGTTGACCATTTCGACACGCGAATTTGACTGTGTCCGACACGTTCCGACATGCTCCGACACGGTCAAATGGCATTTTCCTAAAAAAATTATTTTTAAAAAAAATTAAAATATATTAATAAAGCTTCCATCTGATCATATCAATTTTATTTTTTGAGTAAATACCCTTTTTGGTCCCTAGCAATATTAGCGAAATCCATTTTAGTCCCTGACAATATAAAAGTACCAAATTGGTCCCTAAAGTTATGAAAAAAGGGCCACGTTAGTCCTTCTGTCAACTCTTCCGTCACGGTCAAACTAACGGTGCCCATGTGGCACGTTATCTGCTGACGCGGACTCCACGGTGGAAAGCTGGACGACGACGGTGGACACCCATGGAAAGCACGACGTCGTTTTACTTGAATGCAATTAATTGATAAAACCCAAATAATGAACCCTAAAATTGAAAAAAACCCAAATGCCTTCAATCGAACCCTAAACCGAAAACTCCATCCCCCAAATTGATGAGCAAATCTGTAAACAGCAAAACGCCGCCAGAAAGTTTGCACTTTGATGATTGAAACTTGACGAAAGACATTAAGCCATCAACCGGATTTCTGGGCGTGGGAGAAGATGAGTGTTTCTTCTGGCATGGGGGGGTCAAGTGGGAGTAAATCAATGGGGGGAAGAACAATGGCAAGGACCACTGGTTGGTGGTGCAAATGTGGGAGACAAAGCATTGTCTATACCTCCAAAACTGAGAGGAACCCAAACAGGGCTTTCCTTGGGTGTCCTAACTTCAAGGTACGAATTTGTAATCTGCCCCTTTATTGAGTTGGAAAACTTGCTAACCATGGTGTTTATTTTTTTCAGGTGAAGAAGCCCTATTGTGATTTTTTTAGATGGGTAGATGACATGTGTAATGAACCCATGGAACTGGAAGAAGCAAGAATTCACACTGTGGAGTTGGATGTTGCTGAAATGAACTTCAAGTTGAAGTATGTGGAGATGATGATGAGAGAGCAAGATGTGAAGATTACTGAGCAAGGAATGAAGCTTCATCAGCAGGAAAGAAAACTGAATGATGTATACCTGAAGATGGTGGAGGAGTTAGATAGGATGGACAAAAAAATTAGGACAGTTGATAGGTCAGCTAGGGTCTTAGGTGCTTGTGTTGGTGTGATCATGATCTGTATGTTTGTTGTTAGTGTGGTAAAAGTGAAAACAAGTGACCCAAATGTATTTTTGCTTCAGTGAATTGTAATGAGTACTCCTTCCTGTTGTTATACAAATTATGTGTTAGTTCAAATCTGTTTGTGTGTATTATCATATGACCTATTATAAAAAAGCCTTGAATGTATTCCTTAATATATTATGGCATTATATATTATTGCATAGTTAGGCATCGATTGAAGGATAAAAGATTGCTACATTGTATCACAAACAGATATAGATTGCTACTGATATAGACACATAACTCATGACATTGCTGATACAGAAGTTGCAAACTGTTATGCATATTTTGTTACTGATTGCAAAACTCGAGGACCAATTAGGTCCCTGGCAATGTTAGTCGAGGGTCGTTTTGGTCCCTGACAAAGTACACGGGGCACTTATTGGTCCCTGATTCCAGAATTATAGGACATCAGTTGTTGATGTCCAAATCAACAAAATGCAGCACTCATTTTAAAAAACAGTAGTGCATTACATCAGATACACTTGCTGTCCCTGACCTATATGCTTTTGAATGCAGTCCAGATCAACAAAATAGAAGTGCATGATATCAGAAATGCAGCATGTAGGGGTCCAAATTGGTCCCTGACAATGATTGTCGGGGTCCTAATTGGTCCCTGCAGCCAAAAAATTGGACATGATCTGTTTAATCAGTAACACAGCACAAACCTGCACCAGAATGCAAATATGGCAGCTAAATGACCAACAACAAGCTAACTCAGTTAAAAAACATAAAATGGACATGAACTTATCACATTCATCAACCCTGCCACATAACATGCATGTCCAGAAATAAACCAGTTACATATAATTGTCTTCCTACAACTAGAAACCAGTAGTGCATTACAAATAAAAGCCAACTGATAGAAATTACAGGTGAGGCCTATAAATACAATCTTGGCCATGCATCAAAATGATTACATTATATCTGTAAAAGGCCTCCAAAAAAAATGGCCAGGATGTACAAAAAAAGGGCATTATATCCACTCCTTTTCAGTTGGCTCATGCACAACTCCCTTGTTCGTCTTCATCAGCAGCTCATTTTCTTGAGGATCGCCTTGGTGGCATGAAACCAGGTGTTGTCATGAAGTGCATAAATCTGCTTCGTGTGCCAGTGTTGGCTGCCTTAATTGTCTCTTCAGTCAACACTGCATTTGCTTCTTCTGGATTTGAAGGAGGTGGGCTGCATCCTCTCAAGTTGATTTGTTGTGCCTGAGAACTACCAATTTCTGACGGGCCTCCTTGACTTAATGGGATTTCATTTACTGAGTCTGTGCCAATCCTCACAGATTGTGGTCTTGCTTGTCTCTTGTCTGTTTTGGAAGCTGTTGGCCCCTTACAACTCTTGCCATAGTGTCCAGTCTGACCACACTTACTACACTTGGCTTCATATGTCCTTTTAACTTTCTTTGTCATGCTCCTTTGGTCTTCAGTTGGGTCCTTCTTCCTGTGTTTCTTGGGTCGCCCAATTGGCCTTTTCAGTTTTGGTGGAAGAGGTTTGGATTCATCAGATGCAGGCTAATACTTGTCCGAGTTCACTGGGTTTAAGGTGTGCTCATATGTGGCATGCAATGCATCAACTGTAAGCCATTGATGGACATAGTTCTCGGCTGGCTCGTTTTTGTGACAAATTGCTGCTATAGCATGCTCACAAGGCAGTCCAGACAACTGCCATACATTGCATGCACATGTATGTGTTGTTAAATTGACTCCAACTCTATCACCTTTCCCACTGACCTCATACATAACTTGCTGCAGATTTCTAGTCCAAGTGGGTGTCCATGAATTGCTAAGAACCTTTAACTGATCCAGTTTCAATTGCTGAGCAGGAGCTATTTTACCCCGAACAGTTCCTAACACCCTCTGATGTGCAGCCATCCTCCTCATAATGTAGCATCTCGGTTCCTCCAATAGAGTGATAATCGGTTTTGACCTATACCCAACGATCTTGGCATTCCATACCTCTGCCATGTTGTTTGTGATATTATCACATTTAGGCCAGTGGCTGAAATAAGCTTTCACCCAACTTGAGGGCTGGATGCCATCCAAGTACTTCCATGCAGCCTCATTCTTTACTTTCAACCGTGCCATGCATTGCTGGAACTGGGGGACAGTGGTGCATCTTGAACACTCCCAAACCATGGCTTGAATTGCCTTGTCTTTCCATTGCTTTATGAAATTCTTCCAAACGTGCTGCACACAAAAACGATGATATGCACCAGGCATCACCTCTTGCAGTGCTGAAATCAGCCCCTACACACAGACACAAAAAAAGGTATCACAAAAACATATATAGATTGCCACAAAGTGTTGTTGACTTAAATATACGAGGATCAATTAGGTCCCTGGCAATTGCCATCGAGGGTCGTTATGGTCCCTGACAAATTGCACGGGGGACTAACTGGTCCCTGACATTATCAGGAATGCACTTAACATCAGCAATGCACTTAACATCAGCAATGCAGTTAAAAATGCAGTTTATGTAATCATGAAAATGCAAAAAAACCAATAACTAATAAGCAGGTAACTAACAGTAGAAAAAAATCATTCAACAATTGGATCAATCTGAATACTAAAGCAAGTTGAAATGAAACAAGCTTAACACACCTTCTATTGGTCAGAAATAAAATTCCATCCAAACACTACGTGAGGGCCAATGTCTTCCTGTAACAGGGTTAAAAACCACTTCCAGTTCTCTTTTGTTTCACTATCAACAATTGCATATGCAATGACATAGAAACTTTTGTTGGCATCCTCACCAACTGCACTTAACAATTGACCTCCATAATATCCATCCAAACCAATTAAGGGCCTGCAGCCAGCTTTGAACCCTTTTCTTGCATGCATCCAGACAAATGTACAACTTAGAAAATATGGGAGAGGAGTTCAGATCAGGTTGTGGGATCACTTGCATTTGACATGTAGACCCTGGATTGCTTCTCAATAGCTCACCTAAGTAGTCTCTCAATTTTGCGTACTGTTCTTTTTCACACCCTTCTATTTTGGCCTTCGCTTTCTGAAGTGCTTTGGTCACTTTCTTCAAATGGACATGAACTTTGTACTCCTCTTTCATGCGGTCGTAGGCCTCAGCCCTTGTCATGTTCGGTTGTGTCATTAGCCTTTTTTCTAACTTCTTTGCAACCCAATCCCTACTTGCCCTCTTGTTTCTAAAAAGTCTGCAGCAAGTGTGTATGTTATTAAAAGTCTTGATTTGGAAAGCTTTCATTTTGTTGTTCCACGAACAGTAAATCGTCCAATCACATTCATCATTACTACACTTTGCTCGGGCCCTTACTTTGTCATTCTTCAGCCACTTGAATTATCTTCCTAGATCAATACTGTAGTCTATGACAACATTTTTAAATAATTGAAGACTCACAAACTCCATTCCTACCTCTAAGTGCACATGACCAAACTCCTCATGCACATTAAATTTTGGATTGACAACCTTTTCATCCTCTTCAGCACCACTTGAAGGAGGCGTGTTCAACTCTTCAGAGTTATACCCATACCCATCCTCCTCGAAAGACATTGACTTCTCCTCCTCTTCCATTGTATCTTCCCCTGCCACATCTTCAACCTTCTTTTTTCTCTTCCTGTTTTGCTTTTTTTTTTCCAGCAGCTTTACCCTTCCCCTTGCACTCCTCTTCACTCTCTGTTTCTGTATCATACATAGGTGGAGGAGGTTTATATGCCTCATCCTCCACACTATCTTCTGAATCAGTAGAAAACCCATCACCACTGCCACCCTCATCCTCCAACCCATCACCCTCATCTCCACCACTGCCACCCTCATCCTCCAACCCATCACCACTGCCACCCTCATCCTCCTCTCCACCACTGCCACCCTCATCCTCCTTCCCACCACTGCCACCCTCACGTGCATGTGCAATAACTTCTTCCGGTGAAACATAGACAAGGGTTGCAATGCAATCTTCAAAATAAATTTCTATGAGATTTCCATTACTCAATGCAGCCTTGACCATCTCCACAATATCAGCGTCCGTATTCGAAGGCCTTAAACCTACATCTAAATTCGTTGCGTTTGGCATGAGCCACAACATTTGATTACACGTCTCATACCCATAACCCTTGAACAGAGTATCAAGGTCACGCAGGTTGACGAAGTCAGCATCCATCTCAGGTAAGTCAACCACTTTGCCATTTACATAGGTTAGGACCCCTTTATCATCTATCCTCAACACACCCCCATAATGATACCTTATCACTATATATTCATCCATCTGGAAAAAAAAAGCAACACAGGGCTGTAAATTACAATATATTCATGTGAACATCAGGGGCCACAAACCAATTTAAAAAATGGCAATAACCATGTACATCAAACTCATCACTGCCGACAGGGGGGACAAGCCAATAACGTGGAAAAAAATTGCACCTTTACAAATTATGCATGCTCTAAAAAATTGGTGACCACAATGCACTAAAAAATGGCAATATACTTTACAAACCGATAGTGAAGGGGACCACATACATAAATGGGTATTTTTTTTTAACCCTAACCATGATAACTCACAATGGAGCGCACATGGGGGACCATTCTCCAACAAAGAATAGACAACATCAGGTGATGGGGGACCACAAATATTGAAGATTTCCTAAAAAAACACTTACCTTACTGCATGTAAGAAAACCAGCACACTTGAACTTCCCTTAACCACCACAGGACCAGCCTTTCGACAACCTTCAAAGTCCACGCTCGATTGCCTTCCCTGCAACCACCGTCTTCGACAACCCTCACCGTTCAACGAAGCTTCCAGTGGAGGTCAACAATGGTCTTCCAATCATATGCAATAACTTAGTGAAAAAAACGAGTCTCCACGGTTACTTGCAGTGTTGGTGCCTCTTCATTTCTGAAGAATAAAACGACGTCGTTTGGTCCTTTGGAGTGCTTTGCTATCCTTTTGATTCAAAACGTCGTCGTCCAGCTTTCCACCGTGTCCACCGTGGAGTCCGCGTCAGCAGATAACGTGCCACATGGGCACCGTTAGTTTGATCGTGACAGAGGAGTTGACAGAAGGACTAACGTGTCCCTTTTTTCATAACTTTAGGGACCAATTTGGTACTTTTATATTGTCAGGGACTAAAATGGATTTCACTAATATTGCTAGGGACCAAAAAGGGTATTTACTCTTATTTTTTTGTCTTTTTTTTCCTTAAGTAGATAAGAGATCATCTCAGCATCATTGTTGTCAATTCCTATTACGCTCTTGTTGTATCTCCTTCTCTCTGATCTCTCTCTAATATGATTTGATCTCTCTGTCTGATATTATCTCTCTCATCCCAGTTCCTATTTTTTTTATTAAAGCTTTCACCTTTATAATGTGTTGATGGATATTATTAATTTAGTTTCATTTTTTTGTTAAATTATTGAATATTAAATGAAATATACGCTATATAAATTAAAGAGTAAACACCATTTTTGGTCCCTAACAAAAAACACGGTCCCCATTTTAGTCCCTTACAAAAACAAATTAGTCAGTTAGTCCCTAACAAATTCAAAGTGGACCCATTTTAGTCCTTTTGAGGGACTAATATGGGTCTTTTTTGAATTTGTAAGGGACCACGATTTCAACTAAATGGGTCCACTTTGAATTTGTTAGGGACTAACTGACTAATTTAATTTTGTAAGGGACTAAAGTGGGGACCGGGTTTTTTGTTAGGGACCAAAAAGAGTTTTATTCTAAATTAAAAATATTATTTAATATTAAAACGTGTCTCAACATGTCAAAATCCATATTTTTTTTAGATTGACGTGTCGGAGTGTCGTGTCACGTGTCGCGTGTCGTTTCGGTACTAATACACATAGGAGAGAAAAGACTAATAAGGTGGTGTGGAGGAATATATTAGGGGTGTTCGAGGTCTGGATTAGATCGGTTTTGAAAGCAAAAATCATCTGATCCAATCCTTTCGGTTTGATCATATAATCATCCATTCGGTTTGGATTTTTTTTTCAAATCCGATCCGATCCAATCCAATCTTTTTCGGTTTGGATTGGATCGGTTTTCGGTTTTTTGAAAATCCCAAAATTTATTTCTTGATTATTGTGCAAATTACATCTTTGTATATATTGGCTTTGTAATTTTTTTTTTTTTTAAATACAAGAGCATTAGTAAACTATAATTTTTTTTTTGGGCAATGAGATATGAAAGTTTACAAAGATAAAACTTTATTGATGAGATGTGACTAGATTTTTTCTTGGGTTTAGTTGATGGATTAACGGGTCTTGGGTTTAGAAATTTTTGGACTATGATTAGGGAAAAACTCAAGTAGGTAGAGGGGAATTAATATATTGGATCGGTTTGAATTGGATCGATTTTCATCAACCCATCCAAAAACCGATCCAATCCAATTAAAATTTGCGGTTTCTTTCAGTTTTCGGTTTTTCAGTTTTTGATTTATTCGGTTATCGGTTTTTCGGTTCGGTTACCGCAGTTTGAATCGGTTTGGATCGGTTGATGAATATATACATGAGAATGAGTCAGACCTAATAATTTCTTGTAGGAAAGTGGGTGTTCCTTTTCCTAATTTTAAACTTCTTCTTTTTTTCCCCAGATAATTGTAATGACGTGATGGGATCAATCATTCTTAGTCAACGTGTCTTTGAGTTGCCATATTTTACTAGAGTTTAAATGTCTCTTGCTTATTTAACAGAGAAAGTTGGAGGGGAAATATATCTTCAGATATAACATCAAGATATTACAATATTCAATAATTAGGGAAAAAATACTAAAATATGCTAAGACAGAAAAGCTAAGTTCTATACAATATTAACATAATATCAAAATAACAACTCTGTTAAAAATGTTAATTACGATATAAATAATAATAATGTTTACATAAATCACTATATTTTATTTTTTCGAGCTTGATACTTCTTTCAGAGTTCACGAACAACTTCTGAGGATATGAGTTCGGCCTTGTGTGTAGTTAGGGTACGCTTGTTGGCCCAACAAATTACTTAATTGATAGGCCTTGTGTGTAGTTAGGGTACGCTTGTTGGCCCAACAAATTACTTAATTGATAATGTTATAATGTGTGTTTATAATAATTTGCTTTCTATTCAAAACAATTTATAAATTATAATTGTACTATGAGAGCTTTCCAAAAAAAATTAACCAAAACAAAACATGCATTTGATCTTTTAACAGTTTATTACTTTACTAATTTAGCCATTTTTATGCATCACATGCAAAAAAAAAAAAAAAAAAAAACGTTTTCTTTCTTATAGACATATAAATCATAAGTTGGATCATTATAAGGGAAGTTCAGACTTCGGATATCACTTTGGCTGAGAAAAAAAAAATATAAGAAGCAACTAATTTATGATTCATTGAAAAACTCAAAGCCCAATGAGTTTAAAAGGGGCTTATTTCTCATGGCAATCATTTTTTTTTAAAGTTAATGGAATTGAAAAACAGACTACAAGTCAGTATACATACGTGGGCTAGCAACACCCATCATATCTCTTCTGTTGCGACTCAGCAAGTGTACCGGTCGTTAAGTAATAAAAGTGTACCGGAGTACGAGATTGTTCCCACGAGGATTGGGTTTCAAACAATAGTTCACTAATCGCGGTTTAGTTGGACAATCAATATTTATACGAAGAAAATTGAAATTAAAAAGAAAACAATTAATAACATGCAAATTAAAATTCAGAATTAAAAAGCAATTGGAAAGATGATTGATTTAAAGATTAAAAACAAGGCTAGTTAAGGTTTCGACTTTTCTCCCAATCTCCTCTATATGCTTTGAATTAAACTGTCAAGAATCTTCTCTTAATATAATGCCAATCAATTCTTTCTAAGTTAATCAGGGCTCAATTCATTGTTACCCTAAATCTATGTGATCTTGAAAGAACTCTAGTTCCCCGATTATTTCCCAAGAAAACATGCATTAAGATCAAGAATTTAAAGATTGCACAATTGCCCCATGTCTCTCCCTAGATCACAAGGATTGTGATAAATTTATCAAATCAGGGTTCATACACCAACATCCCTATTGTCATACAATTCCCTTAAATCAATCTATAAGGAGCAAACTCATAGAAAGCATTAAAGACAGATAAATTTATTCAATTATAAAATGAAAAGAATTCTGAGACAATTTAATTCAAAACATACGATTCAATTGAGTTCCATCTACCCCTAACTACATAAATATCTAGGCTAGCATACTGAATTCAAAAGCAATAATAAAGAAAAGAGAACCCCTAGTCTCCATTGGTGTGATGTTGACTTGGTTCCTCAGTGTTCCCACGCTCCGCAACAGGATTCCTCCTTCAGGTCTCTGTGTAGTTCTCTGGATTGATGAAATGGTGGTTTTCTTGGCCCTCAACTCCCTATTTATAACCATTGAAACTATATCTTTTAATTCTCCATCCAATCTTTCTATGAATCTTGATCAACTTTTAAATCAAATCTTGATTTGTTTCCTTTTTATTCAAGATACTTCAGATTGGGCTGATTGGGCTCGTGTTGGGCACTCAAGCGCGCTACAGGGCGCTTGAGCGTGCTCCTGTGCATAGAATTC